TTATTATTATTATTATTATTATTATTATTATTATTATTATTATTATTATTATTATTATTATTATTACTATTATTATTGCTATTATTATTATTTTTATTGTTATTATTGTTATTATTATTATGATTGTTATTTGAATTTGATATTATTACTTGTAGTCAACATGAGTTCTTCAATTTTATCATTATTATTAATTAAATTCTGAGGTTAGTTAATTACTTGTAATTTACATCAGTCATTAAATTTTATCATTTTTATTATTCGAATTCCGATACTAATTAATTAATAGCAGTTTACATTAATTCTTCAATTTTATCGTCACTATTATGTGAACTCTAGTACTGATTAATTACTTCTTATTAGCACAAAATTTTTCAATTTTATCGTTATTATTGCTTGGATTCTGATAGTAATTAAGCACTTATTAATTAGCATAAATTCCTCAATTTTATCATATTTATTGCTTTAATTCCGATATCCATGCATGTAATACAATAGTCAAATTTGATAAGAACAATAAAACAACAAAACAAACGAATTGCATTAATTGCTGAATTCATATCGTTTTTTTTTTAAAAAAAATGGAAAAACAAAAACAAAAATTGTAAAATGGAAAAATTATTTTCCTGAATATAGAGTAAAAAATTTTTCCACTTTTTAGTTCTAAATTTTAATTTCAAATAGATTAAATCCCTAATAGAAATGAAATAAAATAGGAACAGCCTTAATCCATTTTGAAATTATCAGCAAGATTTCATACTTCATCATTTTAAAAAATTATTATAAATGTAAGTTTACACGAACAGAACATATTAATCACTGATAAATAACTTAAAAGAAAGGAGAGAGAAGAAAATAAGATACTGAAATAATTTACTTCTAATATTTACTTTGATAATTAATTTGAAAAACTAATTCTAATTATCAGTTTTCAATTTTATGCTTTATCATTTATGAGCAAAAATTTTTGTTTTCATTCCATGTAAGCATACCATTATAATCTTTACTCTAATGCTATATGATAAAATGTTCGATAAATCTGAAGCTATTATGCATAACAGTTCTGATAAGATAACAATAATGCATGATAATCCTTGATAATTTCACAGTGATGCATGAATACAATCATGCTTAACATAATATGATGATATCGTGATAAGTTTAAATTTTATGTTTCAATTTTAAAGTTTAAACCTTAAAATATCATTTTAATTAAATATTTAAAAAAAAAGATGTTACTGTTGTAAATTTATTCTTCCCATTAATAATTTGACTAATATTATTGCTCACATTATGAAGTTATCAAATATTTCCCTTTCAAATCATTTGTTTTTTGCATTGTCGCAATAGAAAGTGGTTGATGTAAGAATGCTTTTCGAAATTTTGTTTTCATGCTTGTTGTTAAAGGCGCTGTTGTTGTTGAGAATGGCGTTGTTGTCGTTGGACAATGATCACTTTGATCACATGAACGTGATTCATAACTTTTACCTCTACATCCTTTTGTTAAAAATGATGTTTCATAATGACATACACGTGTTCGAATTTGCTTTCCACAGAAACATCGTTGCCAATTACTCCATTCTGACCAATTAGATGCTTAAAAAAAAAAGAAAATAAATAAATAAAAGAGCGACTAAAAAAAAAATGAACTAAAAACAAAAGGAAAAATATTAAATATACCAATTTAATTGGTATTTTATAAAAATAAAAATTAATTTTTTTCAAAAAAAACAACATAAAAAGTAAATTAACTAATTAATATCACTGGTGATAATTTTCGTCATTTTTCTGTTTTTTTGTTTTTTAAAAACAAGACGAAACAAAAAAGAATTCATTTTAGACTTTTCTTTTTGATATTTTCATTAACTAATTAATATCACTAATGATAACTTATCATCAAATTATGTGTGACATTGATGTTATTACAAATTTGATTCTTGTCATCATATCAATTTATCATCAAACTATTCATATCAAATGATAGTATTGAGAAACTTGTCGTAATTAGACAATGTATGATAAGATACGTGATCCGATAATGCATGATAAGATGCATGATCCGGAAATTTTCCACGTAATCTTTTATCAATTTAAACTTTAATTATCAACATTTTAATCCTTAGTTTTGATGATTGATCAAAACCAATTTATACCAACTGATATTATTCAACAAATTATCAAATGTTAAAATGTTTATCCAAAATTTGATTCATTTTCATTTATTCCTATGGGATAATTTGAAAATTTCCCAAGTGTATAACCAATTTTGAAAATGTTATTGAAATGTTACCATTGTTAGAAGATGATGAATCACATATTTTATCATAAAAGACATTTAATAGATAGTAGTATCAAGCAAAAATCAATAATTTAAAATTTAAAACTAACTAGCATTTTCATTTAATGAAACCAAAAATATCCTTGATTGATCAATAATCGTTGGCGCTGTTGTCGATAATAAAGTTATTGTTGATGGTCCTCTAGGTACTAAATTTAGATTCATTGCTTTACGATATGCTTCCATTTTATTATTTGCATTAGTTGCTTCCTGTAATTTAGCTTTTTTTTTAAACGCTATTATTTAAAAATTTATTTTTAAATTCATAAAATTAAAAACGTTTATGCTAGAAACGTTAAGAGGGATTAAATTTTTCTTGAATTATGAAATAATTTTCGTTAATTTAATCGATTAAATTGCTCAAATTCTAATTTTAATTTATTTAATTTTACATTTTACCTCTATAGCTTTCACAGTTTTTTTAGGCTTTTGATTTCTTCTTTTACTTGTTCCAATTTAACTCCGTTATTGTTTGACTTCCCATTGTAGGAATTCTTGAAAAAAAAAATAAAAGTGAAAAAAAGCGAGAAAAAAAGGCAAAATAGTTCTAGAATTTAAGCCAAGAGTATTAGTGCTATTCAGTCTTACGATAATTACATTGTACTAGAATTATAATTAGAATTGCAATTAACGAGTTTTTAATTACGTTGAAATAATAGATATTTTTGGTGATAATAAATTCAACTAAGTGTAAATATTACTGAAACTATAACGTCGAAAATAATTTTAATCAACATAATTAATTTTTTGGTTAATGTGTTCAGCATATATATATATATATATATATATATATATATATATATAATATATAATATAATAATAATAATAATAATAATAATAATAATAATAATAATAATAATAATAATAATAATAATAATAATAATAATAATAATAATAATATATAAATAATAATAATAATAATATATATATATA